ACAGTGTCAACAGGAAGTGTGAGATGTGGCTCACCTCCTTAAGTTTGTTGCTCAGGTTCTTGATCTCCTCCTCGTAGCGATCTTCTTTCTGAGAGTACTGTGAGACACAGACGGCATCCAATCAGAGGCTAGCTTTAACAACAGCTGTAAAGCTCACCTGTACAGGTGTCAGAACTCAGGTGAGCGAGTCACTGGATCACCCCGGTTACCTTTAGATAGCAGATCAATCGCTGCTTGGTCAACAGACATGTCTGTGTAATTTTATTTAGATGGAGGCTGATGGCTGTGATTTTCTATCTGCCAGTGAACGCACCATCAGCCGCTACAGTTATTGATCAGAATCAGTCTTCCTGGGTCGGAGGATGTACGGACTCCCACTCCCCTCCCCCTCCTACCTTCTCACTCTGCGCCTCCAGAGACTTGGCGCTGGTGAACACGGTTTTCAGCTCCTCCTCCACCAGCCGACACTTACTGCAGAGAACACATGCTGTCAGATAGGTGTGGGCGTGGCCTGCTGTCAGGTGTGTGTGTGTGTGTTAGAGCGTGCAGCGGGTGGAGGAGAGGCTGAAGCAGCAGGTAAAGGTCAGAGGTCGTGGAGGCAGCAGGAGGTGAGGAGGAGGAGGAGGAGCTTCACCGCTCTGACCGACAGGTGGGAGGTCATGTGACCTGCAGTACCTTGTCTTCAGATGCCTGCAGGCTCTTCAGTGATTGGTCGAAACCCCTCAGCTGCTCCTCCAGCCTCCGAACTTTACTGTTAGATAGGTGAAAAAAAGATAAGTAAAGAGAGGCGGACAGACGAGGACGAACGGGGGGACATGGAGAGCAAAGACAGAAAAGTCTGTTCATTTGGAGATTAGGCTGAACTTTGTTTTACTTTGTTACAATGAAGTTGCTGTTTGTTTTTGTATCATTAGGCAGGTGACCTTTGGCTGAGCAGCATGTCTGTCCTACCAGGATCCTGCTAGTGCTGAGTCTGCAGCTGTGTGGGAGCAGAGGAACGGAACGGTCCATCTCAGCAGGTAGCTAAATGAAAGGATGTTCCCTCCATCATCCGTTTAAATATTCATAACATAAAATAACTGCAGAGGAGACGCCTGAGAACTCTGATCTAACCGACTGAGTCGTAACAGTCCAAGTTCATCCACAACAGCTGTGGACAAACAAGACAGAAACGGGTGGAGACAGAGAGAGGCGGGTGGAGACAGAGAGAGAGGCGGGTCAGAACCAAAGTCTGGAGAAAAAGGGGTGGAGACAAACCAGGAAGTGATGGAGAGCAGAGAGCCCAACCAGCAAAAAGGTGCTGATGTAGCAGAACATGCAGTGGTTTCCATGGAAACAAACAGGTAAAAATACATGGATGCTTTTATTCAATCTGAGTGAAAAGATGTTGATGTCATCACAGGGTTTATACATGAATGAGTAGCTGTTATTTAATGCTTTTTAATGCTCTTAGAAATAATCTTAATGTCATCAACAAATACCCATGACTTATATATATATATATATATATATATAACCATCTTCACCATGGACAGGCTGCAGCCATGTCCCGAGTTCCTCGTTTTCCCGCCACTTTGGTTCAAATTTGCATTTTCCCCATTCTCTAGCCTTTTCTCCGCCTCAAGCTTATTTTCCGAAGCATTTTAATGCGACGATTATCAAATTTAATTAATTTTAATGTCATTTAAGGCCTTAATTTTAAAAATAATAATTTAATGACTTTTAATGACCCGCATAAACTCTGCATCAGATTCATAACAGGTGAAACATTTGTGAGCAGAACCAGGCTGAGCTTCCTGCTGGAGTCTGCAGACCCTGAGGAGCTGAACCCGGTGGGACTGACAATGACTAACAGCAGAGACTCGCCCTGATTGGCTGCTTAGAGCGCTCTTCTCCATATAATGGAGTCATGGGTATCTGTTGCAGAGCACTGAGGTCAAAGGTAAACACTCCTCCCTCCCTTTGTTCTGGTTCTCCATCAGGTGTTTGGACTCTCAGGTATTATAAATCTGTAGTCAGTGTTCTGGTTGTGAGTGAACTACTGTGTCTGAGCGGCGCACCTGTCCGCCTGTTCGGCCCGGTCCTCGGCCCGTTCCAGCTCTCCTTCCACCATCACCAGCTTACGGGCCACCTGATAAACAAAGACACGACTCAGGCTCAACCGATGGACCTGTGACCATCAGGGGGTGTGGTCAAGCTTTTGTTTTTCTATCACTTTATTAGCAAAAATATAGATGATCAAGTAAATGAAGAAAACATGTTTTAGGTGTGGTAGGTGTGCGGATTTAAACAAATAACTAATTATTGATTTATGGTTTATTAGATTAAATTTGTTCCATCCGATTAACTGATAAAGGAATTTATATCAGTGTTTTAATGTTTCTACTGTCCACCAGAGGGCGCAGTAGTTCACTCTAAAAAGGAACTTGGCTGCTGTTTGCAGGAGAATTAACCCTTTATAGGACAAGTCCCTCAGTGAGATCTAGAAGCACTAGATCTATATCAGCCGTTCAGCAAATATCCTGCTA